TGCTATACAATAATACATTTCCATTTACCTCCTTCTCTATATCCATACAAAATATCTATCAAACAAATAAAATTAAAATTTTCTTTTAAAAAATAAAACCATTCCATCAGTATTTTCTTATGACGTTGTCACGTTCAACTATCGTCAGTAAACCGACTTTACAGACAACCGATTTTTGTTTTTTTTTTCGTGTATCAACATCGATATCTCAACAATTTATTTATGTACTATGCCAACAAATTCATCGCAAGAAAGACGTCGTGATCTTACACGTTTACGTGTCAGAAAATTTGGTGAAAAATATCGGGAGTTATCATAATACATGAAGAAGAAAATTTGAGGTTAGACAATATTCAAAATGTTGTTTGTGAGAATGGTAACAGTGATACAATGTTTAATAATTCAATTGCAAAAAGTGTTAATGCTATTGCATCTTCTCTTTATGATGTAAGGGATTGGGATGGATTTCGACAGCATAAAAACCCTCCAACGATTATAACCTAACGGAAAATGCAGTTATTCAGTAGAAATTATACTTATATTATACTATCATATGATATACTACNAATAAGAAACCGGTTGGGTATCCCATTTGGGACCCTATTTGAATTTGGGGAAACCCAATCGGGACTCAACCGGTTCCCAAAAATAAATTCTACTCGGGTAGGTTTACAAGATGCATTATTATAGCCATTTTTTGCGAGAAAACCGGCTGCATTAGAATGACACAATGTAGACGTAAAAATTTTTAAAATTAATATTAGATAACATACTTACCTGTAACGCATATGCATGTTCCTTTATCAAGAAGTGAAAAGTTGAATGTGAAATTATAGGCTGGGTTAAGTTATAGGTACTAAGGGTTTAGTAAGGACGACGTTTGTTATAATATTAACAGGTAATAGAATTTAATTTTGAAAATTTGGTTTCCAATTCTTCCACTAATGCAAATGTTGTTCGGGAAATAGGAGCTAACTCTGTTATTTTTAATAAAACGATCTCTATTTTACTGTATCATTGAAATTGTCGGTTAATATAAAAGTGTTTTACAACATGAACCTACTAAAAAACTCTTCCTTTTAGAAAAAAACAATTAATAATAAACGATAACCCCCAAAAAAAAAGGTAACGCGTCTTGGTAAGACTCTCACATTGAAGCAACGCTCTGTTGCCAATTTTATCAGCACGGCTTGTAGTAGAGCTGTGGAATGTGAAAACCGAAATCTTTGAACAAAGATGTCTTAGGAAATAAACGGTCAAATTATTCCAGATTTTACATTTTGATAGATGAGCACTTAATTTCATTATCCATAAATTTTAAAATTATTTTTGAATAACGTGCTTTCAGGGGCAACTACCTTGAGAAGTAGAAATGAGCGGAGTTTTGTCACTGTTGAACCTTACGTCATGGGCCTTGAGATTGTGAATTACCTCTGACAGAAATTATTGTTTTTACATTGAAAGGTCTAATTGACTAGTGGTGGCTAACATATCAAGTAGTAGCGTCAATCAAATTTCCAATCACATTAGATATATTGGGAATTAAAAAATCGGTTGTCTGTAAAGTCGGTTTACTGACGATAGTTGAACGTGACAACGTCATAAGAAAATACTGATGGAATGGTTTCATTTTTAAAAGAAAATTTTAATTTTATTTGTTTGATAGATATTTTGTATGGATATAGAGAAGGAGGTAAATGGAAATGTATTATTCTATAGCAGCTGTCCACGCGGACGCATCGCTCACTCAAGTAGGAGAGAGACAGATGTCGAACGCTGCCGAACGCGGAGGC